CCTCTGCCAAAGCAAATTCAGGGGAGGCCTCGGGTTCCGTGATTTCAACAGGTTCAACATAGCCCTGCTGGCCAAGCAGGCATGGCGAATATTCCTCAACCCGTCTAGCCATCTGGCTTGCATTTACAAGGCACGTTATCACCCGAACCATGACTTCCTAGATGCGACGGCGGGATCGCGCCCGTCCTGGGCATGGCAAGGCCTCTTGGAAGGGAAAGCTTTACTCAAGCGGGGACTTCGGTGGCAAGTGGGAAATGGGTCGAGGATCAGCATTCTGCAGGATGTATGGCTCCCGTCAACTCCTCCATCATGTCCTACATTGAAACCGGTTTCGTTATCCTGTCCACTCCTTGTCTCTGATCTTATTTGTGCTAGCTCATTTGTGTGGAATAAAGCTCTGGTGGAAGATCTGTTCACCCAGGAAAGTGTGGATCTCATTCTTTCCATCCCTTTACCTACAGTACATACACATGACATGCTAATTTGGCATTACTCATCCTCTGGTGTGTTTCCGTTAAGACAGGCTACCATTTATTGTCGACTGAACATAATCTTATACATCCTCCGCCTGCCCTTCCTTTTGACGACCGCTTTTGGAAATTCCTTTGGAGCCTCCCACTTCCGCCAAAACTGAAGTTCTTCTTCTGGCGTGCTGTTCGTGGGTTTCTCCCGCTTCAAACTGTGCTTTTCTCTAAGACTCTAGTCTCCGACACGACATGCCCGATCTGTGACGCGGAGTCGGAGACCTTCCCCCACTTTTTCTTTGATTGCAGGGTTGCTAGGGGTTTATGGCAGCTGGCTGGGCAGGATCATCTTCGGTCAGTACTGGGCGAGCTTACTCCGGATGAGGCGTGGAAGCAGCTGTTCTTTGAGCTAAACCTCTCCAAAACTGGGATTGCGGATATCGTATTCATCCTATGGCGAATCTGGAAAGCTAGATGCTGGGCGTTGCATGCATACATCCAATACTTACCACCGGCTCTTTTCCGCCAGCTGCAGCATCAGGTTGCTGAATGGAAAGACGCAGCAGCCACAAGACAGCTGCCTACCCGTAATGGTCCAAGGGAAAATTCTTCATCGACGACAGGGAGACCTGGCGAGGGCGACTCAGAAGGCACATCCACTCACCCGGAACTCATCCACATTTGGTGCGATGGAGCGGCCAAAAGACACCAGGGTGGCAGCATTGGTTTTGTCGGCTTCCAAAGTGCAGGTACGGTTCTCTTTGCTTTTGGCAAGTCGTATGCCGGCATATTTGATCCTTTTATCATGGAGTGTTTAGCTCTCCGAGATGCTTTACAATGGTGCTTATCACATGGTTTTGTTGCTGTCAAATTGCATGGGGATTCTCAACAATTGATTCAACGGATGGTGCGGCGAAATTTCACACATGATCGGTGCGGAGCGATACTCGAAGACGCAAGGGAGTTGGCATCCCAATTCAACTTCATTTCGTTTTGTTTTGTCTCTCGTCGACTTAATAGGGCCGCCCATCTTGTGGCACAAAAAGCCCTTTCATCGGGAGCTCGACGATTAGTCGACTCCCGCGCTCTTCTTTCTGCTATGTATGACTAAACTGTTACCGCTGACTTTGACAAAAAAAAAAAAATATATGTTGAGAAAGATAATGATCATTTTTAGATAAAATACATATGAATGTATATAATCCGGCGGATTCGAGTTGGATAGTGAGAAAACAATGCCCACCCATTACCAGCAATATTCAGATTCAGATTTTTCCCGTACCCACTAAAAATCATTCAGGTTCGAGTTTTACCCTACCCACTTAGGCTAGATTCCGGCTGATGCATGTCCCTATTTTTTTGTATTTGGTCTTTCATCGTCAACCAAATTGGGAGAAACAACAATCAGAAAAAAGATAGAAGAACTAGAGGGTTGTCAATCCGGTTTACCCGTTGGTCTGGTCGAGACAGTGGATTGAGGGTTAATTGTCTGATGACGTTAGTTTGATTTAACCCGGATATTTAAAAAAAGTTATTATATTGTTCACATATTTATCAATTATATCAAATCTCATATAATATATGAGTAACATATAACATTACACCAAAATAACATGTCTTACTTCGACCCAACGTACAGTGATTGACTATAAAGTTAAGTGGATTCCTGTTGCATAAGAGATTGATTAAAGTGATCCGCAGGTTTTGTTTTAGAGATGACAGCCCATTTATCATTGAACAAGTGGTATAGCTTTCATTTCATATGCGTCTTTCAATTGATGTTCCTTTGTGCCTTATACTGGCGGAGTGGTGGTTGGTTTTAAATTAACTTTTTATGTGAATTCTTTATATAGGTGTCAAAACAGAACCCGACCCAATTAAATCGCTTGATTAACTCGACTCGCAATTCGAATTGACTAAAAGTGAACAACCCGCCCGACCCGTAACCCGATTGGCCCGCAACCCAACTAACCCGCAACCCCACTGACCCGCAACCCGATTAACCCGAATCCGATTGACCCACAACCCGATTAACCCGAACCAAGAATAATCCGAACCTGACTAACCCGTAACCCGACCGACTCAACCCGAACTTCATCTAATCCACTTGAATAATTATTATATTATACAATACATAGTTTTTCAAAATAAAGGTTTTCATTCTGAACTTAGGTAAAATTTATTTTTCATTTGGTATAGGTGATTTACAAATATATGAAACTCACATGGTATTATGTATTTTAAGAAATTCAAAAAATTGAAACATAAACGTCACTTGAACACTAAATTCATTAACAAAATAAAAAAATAAATATAAAATATAAAATCAACACAGTGCCAATATTAATAATTGAGATCATGGACTTGTTTAATTTAACTAATCAATAAATTATCAATAACATATAAATTAAGTAAAGTAATGTATTTGGTAATTTGATGCTTTTAAAAGAAGAGGAAAATTTTGGTGTATTAAACTTTTTGGGAAGAGAAAGAAGAGGGAAATTTGGTTATTTGAATTTTTGACAAAAGAAACAAGGGAGGATTTTGGTGGTTTTTATTTGTGAGAAAAGAAAGAAGTGGCAAAGTTTGGTTCTTTTGATTATGAAAGAGAAATAAGGAGGAAAATTTTGAGCTTTCAACTTGTGTAAGAAAAGAAGAAAGAAGGAAATTTAGTTCTTCAATTTTATGTAAGAGAAAGAGTAGGGAAATTTGGCTCTTTCAATTTTATGAAAGAGAAAGAAGAGGGAAAATAGAGTGTTTATAATTTATGGAAGGAGAAAGGAGCGAAATTTTAGGATTTTGTTTTTGTGAAAAGAAAGAAGAAAACAAATTGGTGTTTTTAACTTTTTGGTTTTTCAAAATTTTAGCCTTTCAAATGTGAATCTTTAATTTTTATATGGAGGACATGACTAGTTAAAATAAGGGAGAAGATATGGTGACAACACTATATTTGTTGTTATTGTAACAACACTAGTCTCCAACCAATAGGAAGCTAGAATTGTGATGACTTTTTATTAGATGAGTTGACCTAGTGTAAAATCAAAGCAGGGGTATAATTGTCATTATGAAAAATTTATTTAAATAATAATAAAAAATAAAAAATAAAAAAAAAATAAAAAATATTTTTTTTATTTTCGGACCAAAATGTTGGTCGCCGGAATTCGGCCATCGGTCGCCGGAATCTGGTCGCCGGTCACCGGAATATGCTATTTTTCGCCGGAATATGCTTACCGGCATCGGAATATGCTCACCGTGTTCGGAATATGCTTACCGGCGTCGGAATCTAGTAATCGGGGCCGGAATATGCCTATCGGCGTCGGAATCTGCTCACTGACGGTCATCGGAGTTCGGTCAACGAATTTCGTTGACCGGTCAACGGTCAACGGTCAACGACCACCGGATGTTATGGTCTTCATTGTGAGATTTATGGTTTGGTTTCTCACATTTTTGTATGCCTTTTGTGGTTTGCTTTATCGTGTTTGTGGTTTGCATTAAGAAGTTTCTGGTTTGCTTTATCGTGTTTGTGGTTTGTATTGAGAAGTTTCTGGTTTGCTTTCAAAAAGTTTGTGTTTTGCATTGAGCGGTTTGTGGTTTGTTTTAGGAGATTTGTGGTATGCATTAGGAGGTTTCTGGTTTGTTTTTGTGGTTTGCTTTAATGTGTTTGTGGTTTGCATTATGAGGTTTCTGGTGTGTTTTTGAAAATTCTGTGGTTTGCTTTGTGAGGTTTCTGGTTTGTTTTAATATATTTTTGGTTTGCATTAGAACGTTTCTGGTTTGTTTTTGTGGTTTGCTTTACGGTGTTTATGGTTTGCGTTATGAGTTTTCTGGTGTGCTTTCAAAATATTTGTGGTTTGGTTTGTGGTGTTTCTGGTTTGTTTTAGGGAAATTGTAGTATGCATTGAGAGGTTTCTAGTATGTTTTTTTTTTGTTTTTTTACCGTGTTTGTGGTTTGTATTATGAAGTTTCTGGTGTGCTTATGAAAGATTTGTGTTATTCACTTCCTTTGGATCATGTTCACAGTAGTCGGATTCAAATATATCAAGGTCGAATCAGCGGTAATTTTTTTTAAACAAAAATAGTAAAACAACAACAAAAAAAAAGAGACAAAAAGCAAAGATTCTCATTGTTTGCTTTGCATACATGGCTTTAACAGCTGAACTCTTTCCCATCTCCCTTTGCTTGCTACTTGTCAGTCATTTGGCCGAAAGAAAGAATAGGTTTTGGCCGGCACTTGAAGAGAACCATATAGAGTTAGTTAGTTGTATCTTCTTCACTGCAATTCGTTCACACTTGGGAGATGCAGCTGCTGATCTTTGAACCTTGTTTAAAAAACTGCAGGTGCTGAAGTAGCTGTTCTGTGCATAACCAAGTCAGGGGAAGTAGTCAATTATCAAGCATTTACAGATGCCAAAAGGATGTACACGGTTGCAGAAACCATGCCCGAAAGCGACCGTTGGGATGCATGCTTGGCAAGACCTATAAGCAGCTTTCACGACCACTGCAACCAACTGGGGCCTTCTAGCAGAGGACTGAAGTTTAGTTACAACAAGCCATCCGGATCCACGTCAGCGTGATCGACGTTGTGTCGGAGCCGGCCACGATCAGAGACTGGAAGAGAACAAAACGTTTATCAGTAGCAGCTAGACGCCATAATAACGAAATTCATCTCTATATATTAATTAATTACCATAGCGGTGGCCTTGATGATATCCTCACGCTTGTGACCGTAGGCGACTTCGTCCTTGATTTCGGAGAGCATGACGTCGATGAGGTCGGGATTGGCCAACTGCTTCTTTTTCTTCTTCTTGTGCTCGTCGATCCAGCTCTCCATGATGACGTCCAGCTCCTTGGAGACCCGCTTCATGGTGTTGACCACCCCTTGGAAGCCGAACCAGCCGAGCAAAGGGATCAAATCGGACGGGACGAGGGTTCCGGTGACGAGCATGAACTCCCTCATCACCTGGCCGATGGGCCTCCCGCCGGAGACGGCCCGGTGGTGGTTGGTCTTGTCGAAATACCTCTTCCCGGAAACCATCCTGGTGATTATGTTGAGGACGTACCCCTGGAGAGCCTCGGTGATGGCGATCGATCCGGCCTTGCTCTGGTGGTAGAGATCGGCGATGAGGAAGTCGACCTCGGAGATCTGGACGTGGCGGAGGGCCTTGATGCGGTTGACGGAGAGGAGCTCGGTCATGACCATCTTCTTCATGTCCCGCCAGTAGGTGCCGTAGGAGGCGAAGCCGATGGCGGCGTAGTTGTAGCCGAGGACCTTGGCCTGGCTGGAGTCCGGGCGGAAGGAGAGGATGCGGTCGTAGTCGCTGAATATTGATTTTTTTATTTGTTAAATATTGTGTTAATGGACCCTTTTACCCTTGTTGTTACTATAACAACAAAGGAGGTGTTGTTATAGTATCCGAACCCTTAAAATAATTCTTACATGCTTTGAAGGCATATATATATATATATATATATATATATATATATATATATATATATATATATATATATGGTGGCGTCTTCGGTGCACTCACTTTTTTGGGTGCACTGAACGCACCCACTTTTTGATTTAATCCTCACCGTTCAATATATCTAGCGGTTCAGAATAATTGATAATTTTCTAATTAATTATTAACTAATAAACTATTTTATATTTACTAAACGAATTTATAGTTATTGATAATTGCAATTAAACCCCTAACATTAACCCTTTCTCTTCGCCTTTTCTTTTCCCCGCTTCCACCGTCAATACTATCCTAGTGGCAGGCGACGAATAGTTTGCAGTGCCTGGCATCGTCGTCCTCCGCCACTAAACCGTCTCAGGCGATTCCGGCATGCTCAACATGGAATCAGGGAAAAAAACTTTTCGTTCTTGATTTGTTCTTGATTTGGTCCATGAAATCGTCTCTTTCTAGGATTTGGGCTTACCATTTGTTTTACTGGGCTATGATGGATTAAATTACAAACAAGCTTTGCTGGGCGGAAATGAAATGACTGTGAGTATCGCTCTCGGCTAAATCAACACAGGCACCAATATGTCATCCATCATGGATTCGCCAATCTCGATCACATTCGCTCCCCTGCGTACCTGCGTATCACTCCCCAAGAACATAGCAATAAATCACAATTCCGTATTTGCACAGATGTGAAGACTCTCATGGCGGTGCAACCGTACAATGCAATGAAATATACTGAAAGATCGTTTCATAAATCCTTGAAGTGGATTGTAAAAACAGATTGGTTATCAGAAACAGAGTCGACAGAACAAAACTACGAACATTCTCATGCAATCAAGGGTTTTCAGCAAATTAAAGCGCGCAAAATCTTCCGCGGCCACAAAATTCATTCGGAAATCGCGAATTACGAACCCACTCACCCTATCCCCAACTCCCTCCACCGGCACCCCCTTTCGCCGATTTCCCAGACTTTCCCCACCATCCCCGCCAGCTCGCCCATCGCCGGATCTATTCCTGGCGCTACTCCTTCCAGCAACGTCCCCGTCGGATTCAACAGAGTCTTCGTTGCCTTTCCTCTTGCATGCTGCCAATTCCATATTTCTCTCCTCCTAGCTCCGACGCAAATCATCAGATCTGATGATTCCGCGAATCAATCAATCAATCAACGGAAGGCCGATATGGATGTAAAGAGGGTTGGATTGATCGGAGACATCGAGATGGAGGTTTCCGATCATGGAGTCGGCGGCGCACTGACATTCACCGGCCCACAATTCTTCAGATGGGAAGAGGAAATGCAAAATAGAGACCAAAGGTTGTGTTATTAATTTGAGGGGGGAAGGCTAATCGGGAAGCTTCACGAAGGTTGGGAAGGGGAATAAATGTCTCTGTTGGTGAGAGGAAGGAGAGGGGTTAGTAGAAGAGTGGAAAAGGAACGCGGACAGGAGGGTTAACGTGAGGGATTTAATTGCAATTATTAATAAATTCAAATTAGCTTAATAAATATAAAATAGTTTATTAGTTAATAATTAATTAGAAAATTATTAATTACTCTAAACCGCTATATATATTGAACGGTGAGGATTAAACTAAAAAATGAGTGCGTTCAGTGCACCCAAAAAAGTGGGTGCACCGAAGTAGTCACCATATATATATATATATATATATATATGTTGTCGTATTCGGTGCACCCACTTTCATAATTGTCATTCTGAGCATGCGATTCATATCAAAACGATATCAATTGTTGCTTATGATATTATGAACAAGAAGCACATGAATTTGAAAAAAAATCATTCAAAATTTAATTGAATTTGAAGGATTTAAGATTTAGGGATTTAGGGTTGGGGTTTAGGTTTATAATTTGGGATTTTGGGTTGGGATTCAAAATTGAAGGTTAAGGGGTTAGGGTAATAATGATTTGGTATGATTCTATGTCATATCATCATATTAGATTGAGAGTACTAATTAAAGTTCAAAATTTGATGTATTATAGATACTTTTAGAGTTGGGTGCACTGAGTGCATCCAAAAAAGTGAGTGCGCTAAAGAAGAATAAACAGAGGCAAGAAGACTACGATGGTGACAGGCTGATAGCGGCAAGAAGTCTCTTCGAATCTCCAATTTCCCTGGTCTGCTATGTGTTCTGCTAATGCCTAGTGTAACAGTTTGGATGTTGGGAGTCGTTTTATAATAATGTAGGGAAAGAGGGATGATTTTGTAAGTAGTGGTTGACAGCTGTCAGGCCAGGAGGGGTACTTAAGTGAACGCTAAGAGAGTCGTTGGTACAGAAATAAGAACTAACTACTTTCCCTCCTTCTTTCTTCTCTCTTCCTATCTCTTCTCTTCTCAACAACCCTCCTTGCAAGCATTGTAGTGGGTTTCAACTTCAGGGTTCCAGCATCATCCAATTCAGGCAATGTTGGTTGCACAAGCACCTGAGCTCCTCTGGCGTTCTTCAACTGTGACACATGGAAGACATTATGAATTGCAGCACCTTCAGGCAGCTGTAATTTGTATGCAACAACTCCAATCTTCTGTAACACAAGAAATGGTCCATAAAACTTTGGTGCCAACTTCTGATTAGCCCGCTGCTGTACTGAGGTCTGTCTATATGGTCTCAACTTCAAATACACCCAGTCTCCCTCCCGAAACACCCGCTCAGTCCTGTGCTTGTCTGCCATTTGCTTTCGACGATTTTGAGCCTTGGCCAAATTGTGTCTGAGAAGTCCAACCAACCTCTGCTGCTCCCTAAGCTTATCCGCCACTACTGCTACCGACGTGGAGAGTGGATTCTGAATGCAAAAGTGAGAAGGAGATGGCAGTCACCAAGTGGCGACATTACTTAGAAGGGAGGCGATTCACGATCCTGACTGACTATGAGAGTCTGAAGCACTTGTTGGGTCAGAAAATACACACTCCGATTCAGAAAAAGGGTCTGGTTAAGTTACTTGGGTTTGATTATGAGATTAAATATCGTCAGTGTCGTTACAACAAAGTGGCAGATGCCCTCTCAAGACAACCTGATCTGCTCAGTAGTAGTTGTCAGGCTATGACAGCTGTCTTACCTGCTTGGTTGGGGGAAGTGGAAGCAACCTACAAAGATGAAGAATGGTTAAAAGAGGCTATGGTGGAGGCAGCAGTTCCTACAGTGGGGCCTAAGGTAAACACGGTTAGACAGGGTGTGTTGTACCATAAGTCTGCCATTTATGTAGGGAATGCTGGCAGTATGAGAGAACAGATATTGCAATTGTTTCATGAGTCTCCAATAGGAGGCCATTCAGGAACGCAAGCCACGTATCAGAGGCTGAAGACTTACTTTTGGTGGCCTGGTCTCAAGCGGGATGTTAGACAGTTCATTGCTGAGTGTGATGTTTGCCAAAAGTGCAAGAGTGAGAATGTACCATCCCCTGGACTTTTACAGCCCTTGCCCATACCAGAGGGAGCTTGGAAGCATATCTATATGGACTTTATCGAGGGGTTGCCAAAATCTGGGGGAAAGGAAGTGATTCTAGTGGTGGTCGATCGGTTCATCGTATGGACACTTCTTTGGGCTTAGCATACCATAAACAGCTGCTTCAGTGGCTTAGGTGTTCTTGGAAGGGGTGTTTAAGCTTCATGGTATGCCCCAGTCCATTGTCTCGGATAGAGATGTGATCTTTACCTGCAATTTCTGGACCAATTTATTTGCATTGTAGGGTACTCAGTTACACTACTCCACAGCTTATCACCCTCAGACAGATGGACAAACTGAGAGATTGAATCGCTGTTTGAAGGATTACCTTTGATGCATGGCCCTAACTGGTTCTGTTACTTGGGTTTCCTGGTTACCATTAGTAGAATGGTGTTACAATACCAACTATCACCATAGTCTGCAGATCACTCCTTTCCAGGCCTTATATGGTTACTCTCCTTCTCACTTTGGCATTTAGAATCCACTCTCCACGTCGGTAGCAGCAGTGGCGGATAAGCTTAGGGAGCAGCAGAGGTTGGTTGGACTTCTCATACACAATTTGGCCAAGGCTCAAAATCGTCAAAAGCAAATGGCAGACAAGCACAGGACTGAGCGGGTGTTTCAGGAGGAAGACTGGGTGTATTTGAATTTGAGACCATGTAGACAGACCTCAGTACAACAGCGGGCTAATCAGAAGTTGGCACCAAAGTTTTATGGACCATTTCTTATGTTACAGAAGATCGGATTTGTTGCATACAAGTTACAGCTGCCTGAAAGTGTTGCAATTCATAATGTCTTCCATGTGTCACAGTTGAAGAAGGCCAGAGGAGCTCAGGTGCTTGTGCAACCAACATTGCATGAAGTGGATGATGCTGGAACCCTGAAGTTGGAACCCACTGCAGTGCTTGCAAGGAGGGTTGTTGAGCGTGATAACAGAGCTGCTACTCACCTCTTGATTTAGTGGTCACATCAGCAGGAAGAGGATGCTACCTAGGAATTCTTGGATGAACTTAAGCTGAAGTTCCCAGATTTTGTGACTTGAGGACAAGTCTTAGCTGAAGGGGTGGGACTTGTAACAGTTTGGATGTTGGGGGTCGTTTTGTAATAATGTAGGGAAAGAGGGATGAATTTGTAAGTAGTACTGGTTGACACCTGTCAGGCTAGGAGAGGGTACTTAAGTGAACGCTAAGAGAGTCGTTGGTACAGAAATAAGAACTAACTACTTTCCCTCTTCCTTTCTCCTCTCTTCCTATCTCTTCTCTTCTCTGCAACTCTCTCTTCTTCCTTCACATTCCTTGCTGAGACGATCTAGTTGTTATACCTAGGCAAACGGACGGAAGAAGATTCGATTTGCTGTCTTGGCTCTTTCCACAGACCATTATAAGAAAAACCTTAGTAAATCTCACTTCAAATTCCATTGTTTAATGTTTAGCTTCTCAAAGCTGCTATCTTCAAGTAATGAATGTTGATGTTTGTATTTTCCAGATCATCTGGGAAAAAGGTGTTTCCAAAGCAATATATTCATGGTTCATTTGAAGTCTCTTCTGTTAAATAAGGTAAGAACCATGTTCTGTTCATCAGAGTTAAATCCGGCAGTGGAGTATGTGCCTTCTCCAAATCTCCACCTCATAGTCAGAAGCTTCCCGTTTCTCAACCACCTGCTCAACCACTTATAATGGTCTGTGTCGAGCTTCTCGTCAACTCGGTGCTTCAACTGTCCCTTCCCAATCCCATCTGCGAGTGTATATGATATTTGGCATTAATTCTCCTTTGATTCATCCCAACCTTGATCATCTTTTAAATATTAAAAAAAAAAAATTATTGGTAGTCATACTGGTATTCGTTTGCCCCAGCATCGTCCGCCTAGTTGTGTTGATGCCAAAACAACGAGCAATGCTTTTCCGTCGAGTACTATTGTTATTTCTGAACCATTGGGTATTGTTCATATGAATCTCTTGCGACCCTCTCCTACAGTTTCCCGACATGGTTTTCGCTATTTTGGCCTGTTTATTGAGCATGCGACTTGGTATAGATGGACTTATTTCGTCCGCTTAAAATCAAATTTATTATCGATTGCAAAAGAATTTTTAACCATGATTTTGACTAAATTTGGGCGCCCGTAAAAATTGTTCATTTTGATCCAAGTGGTGAATTTAGTTCTCACCCATTGTTGCTTGATATGTATAAGTCAGTCGACATCCTTTGTAAAAAATCATGTCTTGAGTTCTCTGAACAAAATGCGTCGGTAGAGCGCAAGAACCGTCATGTTGGAGAGCTCACTCGAGCTTTATTTTTGGCCTCGCAAGTTCTCTCTCATTTCTTGCCTGAAGTAGTTGCTACGGCCCTCAGCCGGATGTCTTTGGTCCATTTCGAACTACTTTGCCTTTCTTTGATGAGGATGACGTTGATCCATCTTCTCCTCCCATCGATCAAGAAACACCTCCTCCCTCTCCGCCCCAACCTCTCCCAAGCGGAGACTCCTGGGTCCGAAAGCAGCTCCCCAGGGTCTGTCTCTCCTCTGTTGGAGCTCATGCTCTGTCGCTGTACTCGCAACTCTCTAGGAGTCCCTCCTACTCGGTTTCTTGATTTTGTGAGTTATGGTGTTGATGTTTTAGTTATTCCTACTCGGTTTAAATAGACCCAGAGCAATCCTTTGGGGGTTCGGGCTATGAAGGAAGA